AAAGAAGCTGTCCCACTGTCTTTTAGTTTAATGTTTTCTGACGAGACATTGGCTGCCTTTCTTATCTTTGCTTCTCTTTATATAAAGTATATTTTCCCCCTCTGATTGCTTTGAAGATTTTCTCTTCATCACTGGTTTGTTAGTAAGCTGATTGTTATGTGCCTTGGTAGGATTTTCTTTATGTTTCTTCTGCTTGGGATTCACTGAATTTCTTGGGTCTGTGGGTTTATAGTTTTCATCAAATTTGGAAAAATTTTGGCCATTTTTCTTTAAATATTTCCTAACCGTAACCCTTTAAAAACCCTTATGATCTTACCTTTTTTTCATTCTAGAACTTCAGTTACACATATATTAAACTGTTTGATATTGTCCTGTAGCTTACTGAGGTTCTTTTTTTTTTTTTTTTTCCCAGTATTTTTGTGCCTGGGCTTCATTTTGTACAAGTGTATATTGCTTTCTCTTCAAGCTCACTCATATTTTCTTCTGTTTTGTCTAATCTGATATTAATCCCATACAATACATTTTATGTTTAAGATATTATACTTTTAATCTATGAAATTTCTGTTTTTTCCATTTTTAAGTTTTACCTTTCTCTCTTTATCATGTTGAAGTTTTCCTCTACCTTCTTGAGAATGTGGAGCATATTTATAATAGATGTTTTAACTTCCATTTCTGCTCTTTCCATCATCTCTCGTTTCTGGATCTTTTCTTGATTTCTCCTTAGTATGGTTCATATTTTCCTGCTTCCTTGCATGTCTGGTAATTTATGATTGAATTTCATAAATTTTGCAATGTAAATTTAACATGTTGGGTGTTGGATTTTGTTGTATTCCTATAAATAGTGTTGTACTTTGTTTTGGGATGCAGTTAAATTACTTGGCATAAGTTTGATCCCTTCAGGGCATGCCTTTAAAACTTTTCTTAGTTTTAAAACTTTAAAACTGTTAAACCTTTAAAACTTTTCTTAGACAGATCTAGATAGAGTGATTAATCATCCCAGTCTGCCTGGGACAAAGGAGTTTCCCAGGACATGGAACTTTCAGTTAAAGACTGAGACTGAAGGGGCTTCTGAAAAGTGGGACTTTTGGTTTTAAAGTTGGGAAAGCTCCAAGTAAACTGGTACAAATTGGTCATCTTAGATCCAGAGCATGCTGCAGTCCAGGGCTAATTTAGCCCTACTACTAAATTTTTGAGAACTCTACTCATATTACAAGGTCTTTACACTTTGGTGAGAACATGAACTATCTCCAGCCCTGTGTCTCGAGTGTTGAGTCTACTGTTTTCTGATAGTTCTATCATTGGCCCTGAGTACTTTCCTTTCATGCATGCTCAGATCAGTACTCAGCCAAAGACTTACAGATCTGCCTGGAGGTCTTTTTCTGGGCAATTGTATCTTTCCTTTGCTCTGCACTGCAAATTCTAGCCACCTCAGCATCCCTGAATCCTAACCTCTGACTCTTAGTGAGACTTCTGGGCACTGACTGCATTCTCCCACGCCTGGGAATTGCCTCCAGGCAGTCAGCTAGGGCAATCACAGGGGTAATTTCATGTGTTTCCTTTCTGCAGGGGTCACAGTCCTGCAATGCCTGTTGTTCAGTGTCTGAAAACTATTACTTAATATAGTTTGTCTGGCTTTCTAAGTTTAAGATGAGAGTGTAAATATAATCCCTGTTACTCCCTTGTGGCCATTAAGCAAAAGTCCTTGCTCTTTATATTTTGTGCCTTAATATTTTGAAAATTGTTTATGTTATAAATATTTGAAGGGGTTGCTCTTTTTCTGGTTATACTATTTTTATGCATTCAGTTTACTCTCACTAAGACAATTAAATATTTGAACATAATAATGATAGCTGTTTACAGAGATCCTCTTCCTGTGTATGTCTCAGCTCTGTGCTAGATGTTTCATATACACTATCTTGAATCTTTACCAAAAAATTTAAAGGTAGATATTACTGATATCATTGCCTCCATTTCAGAGGTGAGATTCAAAGCAGTTAGTAACTTGACCAAACACATCAGCTAATATCTTGAACAGTTATATTTAAATGTAGTTTCTTTGAAAATTATTTATCTATACCACAATGCCTAATGTGTAGTATTTAAAGAGACATTACATTAAAAATAGTTGGGACCAAAATGTTTTGAGGTCAAAAGGTTAACTTATGTAGAAAATTTAAGTGACTCTGATAGTAGTGTTTTACAATATATTACTGTATGTGTGTGTGAGAGAGAGGGGGAGAGAGAGAGAGAGAGAGAGAATGTATGTGTGTATTTATATGCATTTAATTATGTGTTTGGTGAAGTGGATAAAGGAGCCTTACCTAAACCAGTTGACCTTCTTTGAACCCTGACACCTTTGCATGCAAGAGTAAAATTGGATCCAATTTCCAAAATTATTGTATTACTTTTCTAGGATTGTTGTAACAAATTACCACAAACTTGGTGGCTTAAAACAGTAGAAATTTATCCTCTCAGTGTTCTGGAGGCCTGAAATCTGGAATCAAGGTGTCAACAGATCTGCACTCCCTCTGAAGGCTCTAAGGGAGACTTCTTCCTTTCCTCTTCCAGTTTCTAGTTACTCCTGTTGTTCCTTGGTTTTTGGCAGTGTAACTCCAATCTCTGCCTCTGTCTTCACACAGCCTTCTTTCCTGTGGCCCTCTGTCACCCCTTCTCTTCTTTTGTAAGGACATCTCATTATATTTAGGGCTCATCCTAATCCAGGATGATCATCTCATTTGAGAGCCTTAATTATATTTGCAAAGACCCTATTTCCACACAAGGTCACATTCACAGATATCAAGTGTTAGAACTTGGACATATCTTTTAGGGGATACAATTCAACCCACTACAGTTTCTACGAGAGCTTTCAGGGTCTTTAAAATTGGCTGGTCTTTGGGATTCTACCAGGGGAGTCATCATGTTAACCTGAATGAGAGATGGTTAGATACGTCTATGCTCATTCCCGTGGTTGTTGAAGTTTTTAGAAAGTTAAATGCAAGAGGTGCACTTTCTTTGCTACCTCGACTCTCCGTGCTTGACCGAGCAGAGGCTCGCTGCCCTATAACCCAGGCATCTACCTTCTGTAATTACTCATAAACCATGACCAGGAAACAACTGTAGACACTCGGATCTGACCAAGATGAACTTCTGACTGGTATGTACAAGCCTGAGGGTGTCTTCTGTCGAGGTATTTGGCCTTCCATTTGGGCAGCAAGACAGCCCCTGGGTCTTTGCCATCTATGAGTTAGAAATTCTACCATCCAAGATTCTGATTCACTCCCTTTTTTCATATACTTGGTGCCCAGCTATTCTGTGTTGCAACTTTCTTCTAACTTCTTCTGCTTCATGCACAGAAGCAACAACTTTTCATGCTAATTCTTCTTCGTAATCTCACAAATGAAGTATCTGAAACATGATGGGACTGAATTTTTAAGGCATTAGATTTAATAACTAGGTCATTACCACTGTTAACCAACCTGACCTCATTAACAGGGCTTTTTGCTTTTCACCTGCCACAGCATAATGAGGTTATTAATTAGAGCAAGAAACACAAGCACTCTGGGTTTGCTTTAAAGCCATCTGGGGAGATGGCTAGGTCTTCGGTCATAATTCCTGGTAAATGATTCCAAGGGGATACAGTTAAATCACCATGAAATGATATTTCCCTTCAATGTAAACTTGTTTTTCTCTTTAAGTGGTTTATTTTTAGGTCCCTAAAATTCCCATTTGTAATCCACCTAATATCTTATTCAGCTAAACAGTGAGGACAGTGGGGTGCAGCAGTTAAAAGCACAGGCTGGAGCCAGACTTCCTGGGGTTAAATCCTGGCTCTGCTACCTACTGTGTGACAGTGTGCAAGTTATTTGATCTCTCTCTGCCTCGGTTTTTCATCTGGACAAGTATGAGGATTAAATGAATTCATACGTATAAAATGCTTAGGACAGTACCTGGAACATAGTGAGTGTTTCATGTATGTGAGCAGTTATTTTTGTTTGTTAAATTCAAAGAAATAGCTTTTGGCTTCTGTGTAAGTCAGTCTAGTACTATGCATTTTCTAGGATGGGGTTACAGGTTGAATTGTGTTTCCCTAAAATTCCTGTGTTGAAGTCCTAACCCCTAGTACCTCAGAATGTGACCTTTTTTGAACATAGGTATATAGAGATAGGATATTTACAGAGGTAATCAAGTTAAAGTGAGGTCCTAATCCAGTATGACTGGTAAAAGGGATACAGAGACACGCATAGAGGAAAAACATTGTAATGAGAGATAGGGAGAAGGTGGCCATCTACAAACCAAGGAGAGAGGCCTGGAACAGAGCCTTCCTGCACAGCCCTCAGAAAGAACCAACCCTGCCCACACCTTGATTTTGGACTTCTAGCCTCCACAACTGTGAGAAGACAGTGTTCTGTGTTTAAGCCACCTAGTGGTGGTACTTTGTTATGGCAACCTTAGGAAACAGACGGTTATAACATCAAATCGCTATCCCCAGGGAGCATATAATCTGGTAGGACGGATATATTCCACAGGAATAGCAACATAGATTTGCTAAAGCTTGCTCAAACAAATAAGCCAACAAAAAGATGGACTTATAAGGATACAGAAGTGTCTAATAAAATACAAGTGCAGGATTGTAGCTGGCACAGAAACATCAAGAATACTCCCTATACTCTTGCCTCTGCCCCTCTCTTGGTGACCATGAAGTTTCTTCCATGCCCACCTCCTATCTCTCCCCACCGTCCCCTCCACTGGAGTTAGAGTTGCTTCTTCCACCTTCAAGGAGGTAGAAATTAGTAGCAATGCAACTTTGGACATGTCACTATGTCTCTCTGCACCTCAGCTTCCTCATCTTTCAAAAAGGGAGATAAAAAATATTACTAATTTCCTATGTTTCAGGTGAGGTTTAAATGTGTAATTGGCACATATAAGTATCCAATAAATGTTATAAGTTATTGGCATCACTAGTATTTGATGAATCCTTATTGTTTTGCTTTCTCTTTCAGGCTGAATTCTCAGAGTTGAATCTAGCTGCCTATGTTACTGGGGGCTGTATGGTGGACATGCAGGTTGTGAGAAATGGGACCAAGGTTGTGAGGTAAGGTGGACTGAGGTACAGAAAACCTTCATTTGAGAGGTGTGTATGGGGTATCTCCCTTTGCCAACCCCTTTGTCTGTTGCCTGCAGCCTAACTCCTCTACTACACGTGCTTTCATGTACGGAATGTCTGCTTCCAGAGAGTTTTAGGTATTATTGCATAGGAATGACTGGTGGCACAAACAATATGGGAAAGCAACTGAGTATGCTGGAATGGGCCCTGGGCTTGGAGAAAGAAGACTTGGGTTCCATTTCTGACTTTATGGCTCTATTCGGGGATATTATTTAGTCTCTCTTGCCCTGTGATTCTCATCTGCGGCATGATGATAGTGAACATGGAAGTAGAAGGCATGTATGTGAGAATACCCTATTAATTCTAAAGTGCTGTACAAATGTTAAGAGTTTATTAGAATAGGCTGCATCCCGCTTCCAGCAGTAGAACAGAGTAAGTGTTCAGAGACTCCCCTCCCAGGACATCACACCTAAAAGTACTAGATATAATATTTCGCCCCCAAATCTGTTTATAATACAAACAGCTGAACTGGAGGGGAATTCTTCAGAAGATCAGAAATGTCAAAAAAGTATAAATCTGCAGGAGAGGTAAATAGGGTATTAAAATATTTCTATCTAGTTAAGTACCCAAAGAATGGTACAGACTAGGTCCTGTGAGGGTTTAGGTGGGGAAGAAATAGAATTCAGATTTGGGGAAGTAGAGACAACAAGAAGAAATTTGAGGAAAAGGTGGCATTTGTTCTGAGCCTTTTCAGATGGTAGAATATGGGCATTCTATGTGTTTTAAGAATAGGAAACAGTCTTTGTACAAACCAACAAGCAAAAAAAAGGAGTATGTTTGGGAAATTATGATAATTTTACTAAATCAGCCATCATTTACTGAGTACCTGCTATTTGCCAATGAAAACATTACGTGGCTTCCTATTTCCAGTAATGGTAGACCAACTGTAGGTTATCTGAAAACAACTTAAAAACTGGTTTTAAATAACGATAATCTTCAAATCCATCAAAGAGTTGACATGACAGTAAGGACTTACTAGGAAGAGAATGATAGGAAATGGAAACCAGAGAGATAAATGAGTACAGAAGCTTCATTTTTCCTGAGAGTACTGCTGAGTCTAGCAAACTTGAAAATTGGTTTTGATAGCCTAGCAGGGGCAACGGAGAAAGAAAGAGATACCCAGGTTTTCTCAAGGTATAATGGTAGACCCTACCCAAAATAAGCTGAGACCTCAAAGGACTACATCTCAAGGTGAATGTGAACTATAGGCAGATGAGCCCTCACAAGTCACTGAAGCTTGAATTGCACTTTGATTGGCCTTCCAGGGAAGCTCAAGCATTAAATTTAGTTTATGGTAATCCCAGACATGCCAGAAGTCAAAGCAGATCCTGTGTAGTGGAAGGCACTTTCATACTAGGCTTCGAATAATTATTCAGATAACTTTTTGTATAATAGCTAGCACATAGTCAACAATAACCAGGCATATACATTATGAATGAGAAGAAACAGGAAATATAGATAAGCAGAAAGATACCCTCAAAAACACACATTCTTAAAAGAAAAAAATCATACATATTAAGTTGAAAAAAATCAGGTTGGAAGATATCTGCAAGGAATAGGAAACTATAAAGAATGACACAACCAGTTTTATTAAAATCAAACAGAACTTCTAGAAATGAAAACTACAATAACCAAAATTATTGGAAGTGTTGTGTTTAATGGCATATTAGACACCATTGAAAAGGCGGTTAATGAAATGAAAGGTAGAGCAGAAGAAATTATCCCAAATGAAGCACAAAGAGAAAAAAGACTGGAAATGCAGAAGAGATGGTTAGATCTCCTGAGAAGGTCTAACATTCATTTAACCAGAGTTTCATAAAGGGAGGGAAAAGAGAATGGAGCAGAGGCAGTAAAATAAGAAATGATAGCTGAGAATCTTTCAGGAAGATACCAAACTACCAACATTAGAAGCTCAACAAATTTAAAGCAGGATTACTAAAAAGAATTCTATACCAAAACACAATAGTTTAAATGCAGAAAGATAAAGAAAAATAAAAAGTAGCCAAGGGAAAAAGGCACATTACTTGATTGGAGTAACAGACTGACACTTGGCTCTCAGGCAGCAGAGGTGGAAAGATATCTTCAGTGTGCTGAAAGAAAATAATCGTCATCCTCAGGGAAATGTATTTTATGAAAGAAGGCAAAATAAAAACATTTATAAAGATAAGACCTCACTAAGGGAAATTGTAAAGTATGTACTTTAGGCAAAAAGAAAATGACCTCAGAATAACGTAGAGCAGCAAGAATACATGAAGAGCAAAGAAGGTGGAAATGCTAATAAACATTGTCTTCAAAAAACAATTAATAATCATAATAATGACATCTTATGGATTTTTAAAATATATGAAGGATTCAAATAAACCATAGTAAGTGAGTATAGAGGCTGGGGCTAAATATAATTAAGATGTTCTGAGGCCCTTGTATTGTCAGGGTGGAAAGCTATGTATTGATTAATAATAGGCTTTGAAAAGTTAAAGATGAAAATTAAAGAATTAAAGAATAAGTAAAGGTAATCTCTGTGATAATTACTTAAAAAATAGAAACAGAATGTAGTACTTAAAAACGATGAGAGGGGCTTCCCTGGTGGCGCAGTGGTTAGGAATCCACCTGCTAATGCAGAGGATACGGCTTCGAGCCCTGGTCCAGGAAGATCCCACGTGCCGCGGAGCAACTAAGCCCGGGTGCCGCAACTACTGAGCCTGTGCCACAACTACTGAAGCCCGTGCGCCTAGAGCCTGTGCTCCGCAAGAAGAGAAGCCACCGCAACGAGAAGCCCGTGCCCTGCAACAAAGAGTAGCCCCCGCTCACTGCAACTAGAGAAAGCCCGCATGCAGCAACAGAGACCCAAAGCAGCCATAAATAAACAAACAAATAAATATTTAAAATAAATAAATAAAAAACAATGAGAGAGAAAAATAGAAATAATAAAAGAAAACAAGAAAGGAGAGAAAAACCAACGTAGAACAGTTGTTATAAATAACACAAAATAAGATGATAGGTTTAGACCCATATATATCAACAGGCTGGTATTCTGAATGGTGTGTACAGCAGTATGGGTTATTAAAATATTGAAATTTTTCTATACAAATTGATAAATAGCCTCTGACCTGAGCCCACTGAATGCCTTCAGCCACCCTTATTTACCCCATGGTTAGGCATGGCCATTGAACTACTCTTGTGTCCCCCAGTTCACCACACTCCTGTCCCCCATCCCATATCCTTGTTTCTCCTGTGGTCAGAGGATGCCCAAATGTTGCAGGGGAGATACACCCTTGGAAGCAGTAGTGGAACCCCAGAGAGCAAACGCCTGGTTCCCTTTGTCCCTTCAAGGCTGTTTGCCTGTGAGTCCCCTAGAGTTGCCATCTCATGGTCACTTGTGAGAACTGCAACTTTCTCAAAGTACCCTACAAGTTGCTAAATATTTTTATCACCAGTATATATGAGTAATTATATTAAATGTAAATGAACTAAATACTCAATTTATAGAGCATCTACAGCAAGATTGTCAGAGTAGTTTTTTTGTTGTTGTTGTTGTTGTTTTTGGCTGTGCTGCTTGTGAGATCTTAGTTCCCCGACCAGGGATTGAACCTGGCCCATGGCAGTGAAAGCCTGGAATCCTAACCACTAGGCCACTGGGAACTCCCCCAGAGTAGATTTCTTTAAAATACAGCTATATTCCATTCAAGAGATTCATCTAAAACATAAGACTGTAGAATGTTTGAAAGTTAAAAGATGGAAATAAATATATATATTAAATAAATATATAAGTTAAATATTAAATAAGTTATAAATAAATATATATATATACATACATACTTATACATACCATGTAACAACTGGGCAAAAGAAAGCTAGCCAATATAGTTGTATTAATATCGGGGGAAAAATAGACTTCCAGGTGAAAAGCATTACCAGGGAAAAGGAAGTAACCCATTAGGATAAAGGAGTCATTGACCAAGAAGAGATAATAATTTTAAATTTATAGGGCTCAAAAAAAGTGCCTCAAAATGTACTTCAAAAATTGGCAAAATTGCAAGGAGAAATTAACAAGTCTTCCATCATGGGAGATTTTGAGAATGGTACTACATATATACATTTATTTACTTCTCACAGCAGCCTCATTATGCACATAAAAACTATAAAAAATGTAAAATTCAATATTTAGGAATCTGTGTATGTTCATATTTGAGATTATTTGTCTTATGTCTTGTTTCCCTATCTGGGAAAGGGACTGGATCATCTTCTTTGTAATATGTAGAAATGAGAGCATCTATTCCATTAATCCCCAAATTTGGCTGCAGATTAGAATTACCTGGGAAATGTTTTAAAATCCTGATAGCCAGGCAATAGGAAAAACCAATTACACTAGGCTCTCTGAGGGTAGAACTTAGGTATTGGTAGCTTTAAAACTCCCCAGGTGCAGGCTTCCCTCGTGGCGCAGTGGTTGAGAGTCTGCCTGCTGATGCAGTGGACACGGGTTCGTGCCCCGGTCCGGGAAGATCCTATATGCCGCGGAGCGGCTGGGCCCTTGAGCCATGGCCGCTGAGCCTGCGCGTCCGGAGCCTGTGCTCCGCAACGGGAGAGGCCACAACAGTGAGAGGCCTGCGTACCGCAAACAAAAAAACAAAAACAAACCAAAAAAAACTCCCCAGGTGATTCCAGTGGGCAGCCTGATGGAGTATCTCCCCAGATTGCTTGCACATTGGCCCTGAACTGGGGCTGGGTCATCTGTAAAGCTGAGTATCCTGGGGGTGTGCTGCCTGAAGAAGATCACCTTGCAGAAATGGATATCTCAAGCCTCATTCTAGACCTGCCATCTTCTTCCAAAATTTATTAAAATGTTCACAAAAATAAATTTACAAAACTGTTCCAGGTGATTCTTTTTCTTTTTTTCAATTTTTTTTTTTTTTTTTTTTGCTGTACGCAGG